ACAGTTTTGGTCTCTGTATTTGTGCTGTCATCTTCATAAAAATTTTCCTCATGAAGAACATGTTCCTCCTTCTTTAGGAGTACTTCCAGGTGATCAGAAGGATAGACATCAGGAATTTTACAGATGACAGTGACTGGTTCTCCAGCAACTAAGGATGAGCTGATCTCAATGACAGGATCACTGGGGAAAGCTAAAAGAATAAAATCCATTCCTTTAGTCCAGCAGAGATGAGCTCTAGGGTCAACATAAGAGCAAGATCCAGACCTCAAACATCTTCAGTTTAGAGGCATTCAGAACATGACATGATATCAACTTTACTACAAGACATATCTTGATACAAAGACATTAGAGTCTTTTATAAGCAGTTCGTACACTAACAAGAATTGTATTTGTACAATTGTTGAAATACGATCACAAATGATCCAATAAGATCCAGCAAGGCACATAGGCAGTGACACAGCTGACTAAATATAGGCATCCATAGCAATCCATACACTGGTGGTATCCTGTTTTCCACGCTGGTAGGTTAGATATCCAAATCATTCCCCTGCAAACTGCAAATGTTTTTATTACGTGCTGTGCACTTGCAGGTTTCCCAAATACAAGCATCTCAACCACATTGGTTGTTGGGTTTTTTCCAGCTCTATGAACATTTTGGGGAGTCTATGTTTTGGCTTTCAAGTACTACCAAGAATAAGAATAAACAAGACCCATATGTACTACCTTCAGTGCAGAAAGCTAAGCGGAAAGGGGCTGAGAGAGTCCCAAACAGACAGATAAAGGAATCTTACAACGAAACATACGTTGAGCTATAGCAGACTCATTTTCCTAGGGTTATCAGTTAACTACCAACCACGATATCTAAAAACAATTACTAATTTTTTACAAACATGTACTACTTAAAAAGAATTTTACATTTTTACTTACAGTAAAGTTTGACTTTGACACTCTTCTCTTTTTTCTCTTTCTCACCACAGAAGACAGTGCACAGATAATCATGAGAATTTACAATGCTAACTGGATTCATAGTCAAGGTAGAGTATGTCCTATTGTTGTTCACTGTTCCTCCAAGGGGGTTGTCCATCTGGGTTCTCCAGGAAAAACTTGGTGATGCACAGCCGGTAGTGTTGCATGTGAGTATGAGCGTTTCTCCAATCTGTGCAACAATTCTGCCAGCAGGTATAATCTCCATTTCAAAAGCTTTAACTACAGTAAAGAGAACAGACGTAAACTCAGCAGCATTCTCCACATTTGTTTTCTCATTTCTTCTCATGTTCTACTATGACATGAGGTCATTACTTCACAGACTTTACAGTTGTGTGGAGGTTAAACTAATAGGCCTCACACAGTGGTTTATAACTCCAAAATACCCTATAGACATTGCTATTTTTGTCAAAGATAACACAGACTGAGATGATTCCAACAGACAGTTCTATAAAATGTATAAAATGGCATAAACCTAGTGCTGCCAGTGAAAATGAACGTACTGGCACAATATAGCTGTTTTTGTCAGGTAGATCTGGTTCTAAAACTTCCTAACATTTGAGGGAAGTGGCAAGTAAGATAGCAAAGAAAACTGTAGGATCACTTTCAACAGGACATTTAGTACCAAACTTGACTGATACTGTCAAGAGATGACAGTAAAAAGATGCATGCAGTGGTGTACTACAGCTGTCTCCAAGACTGTCATTTAGCAAATGCAATATGAAAATGACTGTGTCATTGCAGAGCACAGAAAAGCTCGAAGTAAAGGTCAAAAAAAGTGTTCTTGACATTTTGACAGAACTACTTCTTTGACAGTTGCATTCACTGGAATGTAAAAGCAGCTGGAATAAAGAGAAATAAAGATCCAACAGCAAATTCTAGGTCAGTTTCATTTAACAAAACTAAAAACAAATAAAGCAAATACTACCACCACCCCCAACTTACCAGTCATTAACACACACAAAATCATTAGCACAGCTTGGCTCGTTCCTCGCATCTGTTCTAACATTCGTCACTGCTGCTACTGGGTAAAGAAAGCAAACTGGGCAGCCTGGGGCTGGGCTCTGACCTCCGGGAGGCGCACCCGATGCGGCGCCTGCTAGGCTGGAAGAGGCGGTTCGTAGCGCCACGACTTGACCCGGCAGACAACTGGTAAAACGAAAGAATATGGGTAATTCCAAGTAACGGAATGCCACTATATCTCAGTTATTCAAGTATGCTTTCAGTGCAAGTATTTTTGTAGGGCAGAGTCTGGAGAATACTTCTGACAACACCCAGTTCTGTAAATAACTCAGTATTCCCTTTGAAAACTGTGCTACAAGTTTAAGAGGTGATGTTACTCATGTTCCTAAGTACTTTTGATCCCTAAAAAATAAGTCAGATAACAGAAGTCTGGAGATGCAACTTGACCAGCTTGAATCAGGCTCATCCTGTTCGGATGAACTGAATGAACTAATTTTCCCATTTCAACTTTAAAAATCACTCTAAAATGTCCCTCTTTCAAGACACTAATGGTATGCATTACATTACTGATACACCTCTCAATCTCTTACGTCCCAGTTGTGTATAATTGAAGCATAGCAATTGTATTATCAGCTCTGGGATTATTTTCAGCATTTGATTTCCAGAGGGTATATGAATTCAGTTTGGACTATTTCTGAGGACAGCTATTACTGGCTAATATAGCAACAATGTTATGGAAAAAGTAAAATAACATTTTCAGTGTTTAATTTTCAATTGGTAAATGCTATGAATGCAAAGAATGGATAACGATTTCCAAATCTTGTTTGTTTATTCATTCAGCTACTAGCCCTGGGGAACAACCACTCGTGACCAGTGGCCAGCTGGATTTAATTCCATTCACCACCACTCTCTGGGCTCAGCCATTCAGCCAGTTTTTACCCAGAGAAGCGTACACCCATCCAAACCATGAGCAGCCAGTCTCTCCAGGAGGATGCTGTGGGGAACAGTGTCAAAGGCCTTATGAACCACTAAGTAAAAGCAGCAAGAAATTAAAACCAAAACTTGTATGTTTTTAAAATGTCTCTGGCAAATCATTTGGTGTGTAATAGTTTGGCCATTTGATGTCTATGAAATAGTCTTCATATAATATATTTTATAAAGACTACAGATTCAAATATCTAGTAAATGAGTAATAACTTGGAAAAATAAAGGCTGAAGTAACAATGCTGCAAATGATAAAGAAATTTAATTGCTGAAAAGCTGGTACTACATCAACATAATACTTTTTGAGTCAAGCAGATTTTATAGTTAATAATCTAATGCTAGCTCCAAGATATCATATTCGGGTGCAAGTAGAACCAGAGGATATAAGGCTTCCACTGGCCTACAGGCAGCATGTCTTCCTCAAGAACTATTTTTTTCTGCTTTTTCCTTGACTGCAGCTGCCTCTACATTTTCCTCCTCATCAAAGGAGAGCTGGACAGTACGAGCTGCTACAGAAACACCAAAGCACATTGCAATAAATACATTTATGACTCTGTGAAAGACCTTACACTATGTAAAATAAGAGGCATCAACAACTTTTTTCATACACTTATCACAAACTCGTAAATATAAAAGAAGAAGATAAAATTGTGATCTCAGGCAGAAAGTATGTCTTAAAGATAATAATAATAACAACAATAATCAGAAATATGGAAAATATAAACAAGACAAGCCAAGAATTACACAGAAGACAGGAAAACAGGGAATTTTTGAAGCACCTAGCAGTGCCTAACCAAAAGTGTTTAAAGCTGAAATTCACTGAAACTGCCATAGCAGATTCTTCCATAATATATTATTTTTATTATCATCATCCTATTTACTAGAGGAGGAGGAGGAAGAAGAAAATTCTTGTAAGTCTCAGGAAATGCAAGCAGACTACTGTTCTGGAAGTATTGTTATCAAATCCAGAAACCCAAAATCTATCCAGAGTCGGTAACAACATCTACAGAATTTTATTTTACTTCACAGAAAATGCTTTTGTTGAAGAAAAGTGTACTGTCTTTTACAGATTAACTTGCAAAAAATTACTTTTTAATCATAGGCAGAGTGAAGCAAGAAATGAAACTCTGCTGCTTTGACTGCTTAAATAGTCATCGACTAAGCTGAAGGAAAAAAAGCAAAATTTCCCTATTTCTGGGAAATCAGTTTCTAGACACAAAAAGATATAAACATAGAGGCCATATCAGCATGCTGGAAAAATTATAATGAGTCTTTCATCAGATAACATGAAATCAGAAATAACTCTGATCCATCTCTCAGCAAATTAAACTGGACAGCAGCCATTAAGTTTATTGGAGTTGGATCCTTACCAGAGGGGTTACTATACTGAGTGATGAGACAAATTTAACTCAGTATAGGTAAGAGCAGGGTTAGCCAACAGTTATTATTAAAGGAAGTACAGATCTGCCAAGAAATTAAAAAAAATTTAAAAACTTGCTCTTTACCCAACTTCAAATGTGAGTCTTCTATGCATTTTAAAAAGAACATGTATTTCACTGTTGCTCCTACTATCCTCAGCATCAACCTGCAAGTAGGAATATGGGTATCAAGTTTGCTTATTTTCAGAACTGTCTGTTCTGTCTGAAAACAAATACACATCAACTGACAAGTTTTAGCAGTTGACCTCAAGAGTTCAGATAATCTAGCTTTTTATTCAAATGGCACAGAGGAGGATGCTGGGGATAAAAATAGAGGATGTGTCTAGATTCACAGTGAGATCAAATATTATAGGATCAACTGGAAGAAATTCTGACACATGCAGAGCACAATGAAGACTGGAATGTAACAAGTATGACAAAAATATTACTAAAGGCAAAAGAGATTAAAAGAATGAAGCACTGGGATGTAAATACATGTTTTCCAATACATCTAGTAATCAAAAGAGACTTTTCTCAGGCTTTGATGGACAAACAAAGACTGAACAATTGTGTTGTCTCAGAAGGGATTTTGGACACACTGAACACATTTTTGGCCTGGCATCAGAAAATACAAATGCTCTTCAGGAAAGTGAAACTTACTTCAGACATGTCTGGAATGTAAGAAAAGAAAACCATTTCAGAACTGTGCTAAGCATTTACTCACACTTCTACAACCATGCTAAATACCTATACGATGAACTTCAATTAATTTCCTCTAGACAAAACAGATCGCAAGTTCTTGATACCTTAATGAATTACTTGAACAAAATGCATGTTATTCAACATGTTAGTTCTCCAACATTTCTAACCCTTTTCCTGTATTTTTAAATGATGTACTGCACTGTCTCATGGAGGCTATTAGAGGAAAGCTGAAAGGCTAAACCTCACGCAGAATTTGGTCTCTTAAAACCTCCACCACTGGTTTTGTGATTTATGGCCAAGGGCCTATGGAGAAGTGGGCTAATCCTTCGCTTTTGGCAGAGGAGATTAAAAAAAAAAAGGTAGAAGGAAACTCATCTAATTCGACGTTTTGTTTCCTGTGTCAGAAAAAAAATGTTTCACAGCACTTCATCCCAATATCTGCATCCGGAGCCACCATTTGAGATTTCTGCTGTGCTGGAATAAGAACTTCTATATAGGGCCCCAACACAGATACATATGCAACAGGTTTATTACTAAGCATCATTGTGTCCCACCAGTTTGAGAGGGCACAATTCTTCTGTGGAAGGCATGGCATTCAGGTGAGAAGATGCAGCTAAGTCTGACTCAACAATTCTTCAGCCTCAGACCACAGAGGTGTTACAGCAAATTAATACTTAGGTCCCCCACTCAAATTGCAGCCCTCACCCATCTCCTGAAAGATCTCCCTGGGATGCACACTGGATGTCTGTCTATAAGAAAGCCTCTTACAGAGTTTCTGATGCTTTACGGAAGCAGCTGGGATGAAGAGCTTTCACCCAGTGCAGAGTGTCTGGTACCACCACAGGATGCTCATGCCTGAAGAAAAGCAAGAGAATGTGCTGTAACTCAAATGAGAACTATTCTCTAAGGGAAAGCATATCTGTGTCAAAGGAGGAATGCCCTTCAGGCACCACATCCAGTGTAACACCTTTAATATCATACTTGAACAAATAACTGAAGAAAACATGAACCTGGAGGACATGTGTGAATACCGCTGACTATATGGCTTATACAGCAGATAATGATCTGCCAGCCTCAAAATTTTCAGTTCTCAGCAACCTCAGTAGCCTTCTATACAGGTCTTTCCTTCCTCAGTGCCTACTGCCTTTTTGGTTCCCAGAGCTTCCCTGACCCTTTGCTTTCCCTAACTCCCTCCACCTTTTTTCTCATCACCTGACAATAATACAACTCCTGTATAGCCCCGAAGAGGTGGAGAGCATCACTGACTCCCTACAATTTTCATCTCCAGATGGGAAGGATGAGATCTACATGCAGAGCTATTTAAAGGGTTGTGTCTGTTTCAGGAATTATAACTTTGTTCCTAGCTACAAAAAAAACACCAGCACATTACCCTGTAACCCACATCACACCTTAAAATTGTACTCCACATCTAACTTGTCATCTGTTGGAAAAACGGAAAAAAGAAACAACTGAATGAATTTTATCATATGCTTCTTTCTTATTTCTAGAATTTCTGAAATACTGTGTATAAAAATAAATGTATCTACTTCCTTCATTATCTTTCTCAGGCACCAGCTCCCCAGCTATGACACCCTGTTTGGTTAGTCTGAAAGCATCCAGAATCCACAAAAGGTGCCAGATAACATAATACAGAAGTATGACAACTGGCATCAACTACAAAATAGGTAATTTCTTATTTTCTTCTGTTCAGAGGCATTGTCTATTTCACTTCACAGAAGGAACAAGAAGTCAATCTAAAAAATCATACAAGCCACTAAAGAAAAAAGTCCCTACTTTTTATCTTAGTCTCTTGTTGCTGGCAAAAAAAAAGGCTGTGGAAATTCCGAAACTTGTTTCTCAAAAAAAGAAAGTGTGATTTTAGTGATGCTGAATCTAAAAGTGAAACTGTTGAATAGCCTTTAAATCACATATTTAGTGTGCCAAGAACTGTACTGTAAGTCAAACTGTGTTAGTTTAGGTAGCTCAGCTTCTATTGTCTTCATAGTGACGTATGTAAAAAAAGTTTCCCTTTTGAAATATTCTCCAGTGTATATCAGGAGCCAAATTCAAATACAAGCCTTGAAGTATTCAAAATCTCTTCAGGAATTTTGAAATGAGAGCTCAGATCTACTTTTATTTAGAGCCACATATACTAAGACATGTCAATGACTTTTGTTCTTACTGGAATTATAGCTTTTCAGAAAAATTCATTCAAAATGGTCAGAGTAAAAAAATAAAGTGGCATTTGGGTCAAAGTGCACATGCTGACTAGGACCTGGAATGTGGCAAGATAAAGTCAGCTGAAAACATTCAAGAAGGAATATGACCAAGTTACTGAATTCCCCCAACACTCTACATGAAATTCCCATATCACTAAATACCATTGTGTACCTCATTAAGGCCAGCATTTCACACGATCAGATGAAGTTAATCAAGAAAAGGGCGGAGAATTTTTTGACCAAGCTTTGTTACTATTCACAAGCAGCTGCTCTCCAAGGCCCTTGTAGATCCTTGACTATGGGAGAACGGAGATCAGTCACTTCCCTTTTCCCACCTCCTTCCTGTGCTTTAGTCGTGAGGTACATGTATGTCCCTATGGAGTCAGAAAGACAAAGGGGAATGATGAGAGGAAGGTCTGTAATAGACCATTCCAGCTGGAACAAATACAGAACTTGGATTCTCCTAGACAGGCTACTGATAACTGCACTGCTACTAATTGATTATCCTTCAACTTGTCTATCAGAGACTATATTCTCGATTCTCTTACAGTGAATAATATTCTGAAGAGCTGTGTTCAGCTGTATGTATGTTATTTTTGCTGCACTGTTATAGAAATGTTATCTTTGTAGTCCTACAGTGGACTAGCTCGCTAACATGTAGAAGTATTACACAGATATCAGAAAGGATTTAAATGACTTAACATTGCATGATTCAAGAATCATAATTTTAAGTCTTCCATGTGGGTGAGGATTGCAGGGATTGCTCAATTTTTTGTTTTTATTTTTTTTTTAAGACATGTAAGGAAATCTTTCTTTTGTCTAGATATTGTCACTTCTCCGTCTCTGGAAGTGGACTGAAAGTTCTAAAGAAAATGACCTCCCAAATAGAAACAAGAAGGAGCTGAAGTGAACTGATTTTTACTTCCATCAAGCCAAAATGACAAGTATCCAAGAGAAAGCATTTTGCAGTAGCAAAATATGTGTGTTTTTGTGTGTGTACATATATTAAAAAACAAGTGACACTTAAAGCCAGCTGCAAGTCTGTTAAGGATCTGGCACCTTTCCTTCATCTCTCAAATGTGCTCTAAATCAACAACATGCTGTTTTGTTACTTACACTATTTCTCTCTTTCATTTTTTCCCCACAAAGTCGAGTATCATCTTAAATACTTGCTTTGTTAACATTCCCACAGAAGGAATATGCTAATGTAGGAGTAGCTAAGTGATAAAAACCATGGACAGCTGAGTTTTTCTAGACAAGGAAGGGTAAGAAAAGATGCAAGTTGCTGAGATTTATTTCCCCTTTCAAGACAATTACTTGGCTAGGCATTAAAGCCCCAATCCTTGTTGTCTGATATAGACAACTCAGCAAGAATGACTTTCATAGTTGTGTCACCCTCTATCAGAGACCATGTTACTCTCGTGATAAGAGAGGCAACTTGAGAAATGTGACACATGTTTGAAATTGCTGTCAGGCAGGATAAAGGTCTGTGCTGAATTAGCTTGAGAAATGTCTGACTTTCAATATTCCCATGCTTCTTAGCCAAGGATCTCTCCTGAAATTCCCCAGAATTATATGTGAATAGCAATTAATAAGGAACAGATGGTTTACTGACCCTTTTGGTTGGATCAATTTTGCCTGTATTGACTTCATTTCTGACCATAATTAGCTCCACAGCATGAGGAACAGATATTAGTACCTCTCTTCTAACAGCTCAGCTCCAGAAAAATGCTCTACCTCTGTGGTTTTCTGGCCGAGGTTCTCTCCTTGCTGAATGATATCACTACTGACTGGGCCAGACAACTGTGCAGCTACTGCTAGGGCTTTCACTTTGAAGCTGGCATATCCTAATGGGAAACAAAACATTTATGTGCAGCCCACAGTTTATAAAAGATAGGAAAGAGTTTAAATGCTGCATAAGCACTGTTGAATTCTTTCGTGGATCAAGGACCAAACCCAGTTAAGTTCTGGTAGGCTCATGACCTTGAGATTAGTCTTACCTCTGTAATGTCTTTCTGTATCCAGGATAACAAGTAGCATGGTGACTTGGTATCTGCAAGACCATCAGGATCAAGGCACAGGAATTTCCAGGGCCATGTTCAAGGGTGCGTTAATTAAGATTTTGAGCAAATTATCTTACACTCATTTTCCTAGATTATTTGAATGAATGCAATACAATTATCTCACACTGAAAAATACTCTCTAGTAATTCTGTGTTCTTTATCTAAAGTGTTTGATGTAAAACCATCAGCCTTTAAATGATTTATTATTACATTTTATTACACTGATTCATCTGCTATGGTGCCAAGATCCAGATCCAGCTACTGACTTTGCTTGTCTTGCACTTTCACGTGTCTTGTGCCATGACTGTACTGCATTTTGTGGCATGAAGAGATGTTCATTCTCCCTCTAAGGTCAGCATATGGATCCTGCTGCAGCTTATGATTTCAGAAAACGTGTTTGTACATAGCAAATGTATTCTATTAACAATTTAGGATCTCAGACAATTTAAGAAAAACTTGTTTCCCTTTATCCTGCAAATGGGATTTATTAATTGGAATGTTTATTTATTTTATACACTATTTATTAAATTGAAAATCAATAAATAAAATTTATTTAAAAGATGACTAGAAAGTTTTCACATTTAACGTAAAGGAGGACAAATTTTCAGGTGGAGTCTGTAGCACAGAATGATTAGCACAGAAATTTATCACAAGGTTGAAAAGTAAGCAGTGTGTTTAGAAATCCATTTCCGGGGGAAAGCAATTACTAAATTAATCTGCACTATTTACTAGTGCCTACTAGATCATCATATTACTAATTTAATACAAGTGACAACACTGGTTTTGAAGTTATAAAAAGGTTCAGACAGTGCAGTTGAAAAAGACCATTAATTTAGACTAAAACTTCAGATTATTATAAAGATGAATAAATGATAAGTTGGCAATTTTGCATAACATTCTTTGGAAAGTTGGTTTCATTTTTATGAATTATTTGTAAACTTACCTTGAGCTTTCATTTTCTTACTCATCTTTATAAATTTAATGTTTTAATGCACGCATTTCATACTATAGTGTTCACCTTTTTTTGCCAGGATTTGTGTTGTACAATATGCCATTTAAGATTCACTTTATCCTTCTAACCCTTTTTTAGATAACCAAAACTCAGATGACCACGTTTAGTGCTATGACTGACAGACACAGTTCTCTACTGGACTTGAGTGGGAAGAGCACTTTTCTGGCACGTATCCATAAGGCAAACCATTGTGAATAACTGGAAATCCTGGCAGGATCTAATTAGGAGAAACAGGACATAAAAACAAGCAAGAAGTCAGCTGTAATTTCTTGGTAATTTCATAATAACCAAATTATATCAATTATAACAATTTCATAGCTACTTTTTTAACTTCCCTGAAGGTGAAATGGTATTGGAAGCTTAACTTCATATGTGAGAGAGAAATTCCAGTTTTATCTTGGCTGTAATTGCTCATTGTGTCTCAAAAGAGAAATGCCTACATTATTCAGAGCGCTTTCTCAAGTACATGGAATTTCAAGAGCCTGGAGTGAAAGCGAGTATAGCCTGCATTGTCACAGCTGGGTTTACAACACACAGAAGTGTTCAGTAACAGGAAGAGCAGCTTTGCGCTTCCCAGATGAACATGGAGTAAGTGCCCAGGAGCCCAAGGCAGCTTTAAAATATTGCTGTTAAGAAGGAATGAAATATACTGTTCCTGCTAATGTAGCAGTGCTTTCTACAGAGATAAATTTCAAAGGCTCTTCTCTGAGAAATTCACTATTCAACTGAGAAATTTACTACTCAACATATGCATGAATGCCAGACACTGCCACGAACCTCTTCATAAAATTTCCAGGATCCACACAGTGGGAGGCTATTTGAAAGAACAGTGAAACAAATTCTTATAAACACTGTAAGTTCTTCTTACTCTAAAACTTAAAATCTCTCCTGACAAACCCCAGCTTTCTGCTCAGGAATCATTTACAAAAACACAATAAATAATGCAAATAGATGAAAGAACAAAAAAGAGAGAAAAAAAGGAAATGGATATTAAGGAAAAAGCTCTTCCAGAAACATCATTAAATAGTCTTAAGTCTTCAGTATCTCACACGTTTTAGCAAAAATATTTTATCTTCTCAAGTAGTTCAAATGGAAGGACAAATGGTGCTACCACGTACAGTTCAGATAAAAGAAACTCTCATAGTGAATATTCTTACTCTCATTCTTATTTTCATGTATTATAAAGCATATTACATGTTTTGAGTTGGAGGTTACATTTTTCACCTTCTTACACCAAAAGGAACCTTTTTCATCCATAAATTCTGCTGCTGCTGTTTCTCCCTTACATTTAGAACTATTTGCTTGTGATCTTCTCCATAATATATTAAAAGAAACACAACTCCATACCAAAACTTCTGACACAAAAGACTACTTCTGTAAGAGAAAGAAGGTTTCTTCCAGTTAATTCATTAATCCTCTGAATCTTTGCAAGAATCATGGAAAGTAGGCCAGAGGATAGGTAGTACCCCTGATCCCACTCCTCCTCCCCCATTTGCAATATTGCTGAATTCAAATCCTGTTTGAATGTGCTCATCAGTGTAGTTTTTATAAGGAGGGAGAGATGGCATTATCCAGACTTTGACACACCACTGATGTTTTGGTTTATCAAACTTAGATTTTTATCAGACTGTATAAACACCTGCGGTGGATAAGTCAGGATTTTATTGAGCCAGTATCCCACCTCTGACACGAGCCGAAAGCAAATGAAAAGATAAAAGCTTGAGAATGGGGGAAGCATGAGTGATACAGGTCCTTACACAGGGAGGCAGAGAGAGATGGTTTCTATGCATTTAGTCTGTGTTTTTGAGAGTAGAATTCAATACAAGAAAAATCCTGCGAGTGAATGGAAAGAAATTTGAGAAATGTCTAAGAGATTTGGAAATGCAAGTCTACTGACACATATTTCTAAAGCTTGTAGCCTTTGAAAATCTTGTCATAAACAGTGTAGAAAAATATAAATTAATAGTACTAACTAACACTAGTTCATTTAGAACTCAGGAATCACATGCTCTGTTCTGCCACTCTAAAAATAACTCTGCTGCTTTATACAGATCTCTTCTGCACTACCACTGCAAAATCTCTTTTTCTCCATGCAACTGCAAAATAATCTCAGTCATTCCTGAGTCTAGAATGCCACTGAATGTCATCAGATGAGCTCTTCTGTCCTAATTTTGCACAGAGATTCTGGCAAACTTTTGCATTGCAAAACAGCTGTTGCTGCTGACAGCTGCTGCTAATGCATGACGCCCAGGTCATCTTATCACCCTGTTACCATGTTTTGGCTGCCTCTACTCTGTAGCACCTTCTCCATCCACTGACTTTGTGCTACATGCTGTTACAAAGATGCCATCTCTAAAGGTTTCCCGAAGTTAAGCACCGTCACCTTACTTTGTTCTTCATTCTGGCCTAATCTAAAACCTAATGGACTCAACAGACAATCTTCTAGAGATACTATCAAACTTTACATTACTCCCTTCAGCTGTGTAATGATGTACTAAATGATTTCTTAAAATTGAAACCATCACATTTACTACCACTAAAAATAAGAATGACTGAAAAACTAAAGAGCTCCTTTGCTGCCAAAAATCTGTGTAGCTGCAGTCACGAGGAACAAGACTCTTAAGTACTTTATAGGCAACCTCCTGCTGTGATGGGCCACTCAGCCCAGGAGAGCTCAAGCGCAAAGCACTGCTGCAGTTCTGAAGGCTGTCTTTGCCATAGTAGAAACATTTGCAAACTTTATCACAAAGAATAAACTTTTGTATCTAAAGAGTGAAAGCTGGCTTTGCAACACAACTTGAAAACACATGTCAAAACTGCTTTCAAAATACAAAGACATTTCAAAGGAAACAGACAACATAGTAAACCTCTAATGCTTATAGTCAAAATCACTTTTTTCTTCTGATGTGTTTCTTTCCATTCTCCTCTTCATTGGCATTTACCATTTTAGTAGCATCTATTCTTATTCAGTAGCATAGATTAATCTCCACCTTCTTCAAATACACCATAGATGAAATCTGTCTATGGCTTCAGTCCTTTTCAAAATCCCAATGTCACACAGGAGATAAAGAAAGAAACAGGATATCCAAGTTAAACACACAAAAATAGGAAGAAGTTTGTTTATGAAATGGCAACCAGAGTCCTGACATATACAACATTCTCATTGTTTTTTCCTTTGCCATAAGTTTTCTGACCCATCTGTTTTGTTTTTCTGGTTGATTTATTCATCAGCTTTTTCTACCACTATGGCAAAGGCAAATATCCTTTGGAAGGAAGACCATATTCCCTCCTCCACACTTCCTCCAGGACAGAGAAGAAAGAACATCAATCTATTGTCCTGACAAAGTTGGCCACCTGGACAGAGAGACCCACCATTCTCAGGCCAGAAGTGCAAGACTATAGGGTGCTCCAGGAATATCTGCCTGAGGAACAGACCGTTTGTCACATCAGCAGCATTTACTGTTGGTCCACTGTCTAATTTACAGCAATAGTCAACAGTGGGTACTTCAGCGGAAGACCAAGACTGTACACATCAGGCCAAGTTCATCATGCAGTGCTTTAAATAATTTCCTTATTTGCACAGAATATTATATCCCCTGACTTGAGGTATTACTTCCTTCTTTAGCTTGGCTTACTTTACTGCAAATATTATTCCTTCAACAGTGAAAAACTACAAAATTTTTTTTAAAAGTCAAAACCCATGTAGAATGAACAATACATACAAAGAGTGGTAAATACTGGAGTGTATAAATTTGTATAAAATTTCAGCATT